TGTGGGCTGGGCATCACCAGCATTGCTTGAACTGGGGACTCTCATTCTGCCTTCATTCTCCCAGTTCTCTTGTCCTAGACTCACCACAGAATCATTAAGGTTGGAAAAGACCTTAAACTGAACAATTCCAGCTCCCTCAGCTGCTCCCCATAAGCCTTGTGCTCCACACCCCTCACAGCTTCGTTGCCCTTCTGTGGACACGCTGCAGGGCCTCGATGTCTCTCTTGTAGTGAGGGGCCCCAAACTGAACACAGCACTGGAGATGCTGACATTCCCTTATCCCCTGATGTCACAGACCTCCCGTCCCCTCTTGGGTACTAAAAGCTATCTCAGAAGTTGCAGATGTTGTGGAACGCGATGAAAGCACACCGCCACTAGAGCAGCGGGGCAAAGCACTGCTGCTTGTTGCTTCCTTTAGTCCTTTCCGACAGGATTCCCACCGCACAGTAGGAAGCCCTGAACTCAGCGCCTCAAGCGCTTACAAATAAGGGCTGTGCGCGGCTCGCCCGCCCCCGGCTTCACAGGGCCGCCCACCCCACGCAGCGCCGGGCCCCATAGCCGCCCTCTCGCCGCCGGCCGGGGGTGGGCGGGGCGGAGGTGCCACCTGCCGGCGGCGGGGCTCCACGGCAGCGGCCCGCGGGCTTCCCTGCCTCCTCGCCGCGGCCCGGGCTCAGGATCCCGGGCTTTGACGGCCGCTTGTCGCGCGCGTTAGGCGCTGCCCGGGGCGCGGGCTGGCCGTGTTCGTGCTTCTGTGGTTCGGACTGCGGCTGCGCGAAGTTTGCTCCCGAGCTGTGCGATTTCGGCAGCTCTGGTGGAACGTCGGCCGGTCCGTCTGTGCCTCACACCCGCGGTCCGTGCTCGCTGCTGCACAGCACTCCTGTGCGCCCGCCGGGCACCGCGGGCTGGCGGAGCTCTACCAAAACTAAAACCGTTGCAAAAGTTAAGTCTGGTGTGCTGGAAATTGTGTGAACGAGCGGCTTCTGGATAAGGTCAAAGCCTGGGGCTGTTTCTGTTAGTTTTCCTTCGGTGAGCGTGCTGATTGGCCGGGTTTTGTTCCTGTGGTGTAGCGCAGCTTTGCTCCTAAGGCATCCCAGTCCTTCCTGGGCTGTCGAACTTGGGGTCAGGAAACAAGCGCTGCGCTGCTCTGTGCGCTGAGGTACCGGCATGCAGGTTCCAGAATGGAAAAGAACCACAACTGTGCATCCAAGTGATAAGGCTTCCGTGAAACGGAGGTACTGACTGGAGTTAGGAACAGCGTTAGAACTAGTTTTTTATTAGATTTTGCTTGGTGACTGCTTGCATGAATGACTGAAGTTCAATAAAACCATAGAAGTAAAGGAATAAAAGGTTGTAAGTTACAAGCAATTCAAAGTGCAGAAAGAACAATGCTGTCCATGAGAACAGAGGCTCTTGAAGTGTTACCACTTCCATGGCAGCGTTAGGTGCAGCACACACAGTGGGAGCCGTCCTTCGCAGTGCTGCCATTGCTGGGGCATCCCAGCATCCCAAGGCTGCTGCGTGCTCATTGCCCACGTAAAGGCAATTAATAACTACAGGAGTAAACAGCCACCAGTTTGCAGAGTAAATATCTAAATTAGAGGGATTAGATATGAGTGCTGCTGTCGCAGCACAAGTGGCTCATTGATTGCCACTGAAAATAATACGCTTATTAGCACAGCCTGGGAGCGGGGGGCTGCAGGGCTGAGTGAATGCAACCACTCAGTGAGTACGAAATTGAGCTGAACAGCTTCGGATCTGAGTTAATGCACTGGGTATCAGTGAGCAGGGTGGACAGTGGGGATGTTATAGGCTGTTTCCTTCTCTCTCCCCTTGCTCCTCCAGCAATGCATTTGTCTAGGACTTGTCCCTGGCTCATGGACACAGTGGTTGATCCCAAGGATGGGTCCTGGAAGAGGAGAAAATAGAAGCGTGGGGTTGTTCAGATGATGTTTTGCAGCCCTGGTGTGGGCAGCCAGGCTGGGTAGCCCTCAGGTTCTCTTCCTTGCTAACTGTGAGGAGAGAAAAGATAGCAGATCTGTTATTGCTGTATAAATATTGTGTCTTTTAGCAATGGGATGTAAGAAATTCATCCCCAGCCGGTCCTTACTGTGGAAATAGGTTCCTACTGCAGACTAACAAGTGGCACAGAAGAGTTACAAAGCTTTACATCAGCTGCAATCCGGGGTCCTGCTGAGAGAAACTGGTCTGTGAGGCATGACTGTATATGAACTTCTGGTTGTGGGGCTGCGCTCCATGAAAACTGTGGCTTTAGAAACAGAACAGGGCCATCTTCACCCTCTGGGCTTCACCTCCTGGGTGGAGGAGTGTGAAAATGTAGATCATGGAATGGTTTGGCTTAGAAGGGACATTAAAGCCCATCCAGTTGTGAGTATAGCTGCCACTCAGCAGATTAGCCTGCTCAGAGCCCTTCCTACCTGTCTTTGAGCACCTCCAGGGTTGGGGCATCCACAGCTTCTCTAGGCAGCCTGTTGTGCTGCCTGCATGGCTGCACTGATGGCCCAAGGCAAAGCCACCCAGCGGCAGGAAGGATGATGATGCGCACACAGTGCATGGGGCTCTCTCTTTTGCAGAGGAGCATGGACAAGGGCTGTCGTCCCACAGGCAGGGCTGCCAGCTGCAGGCTGAGGTAATGCTGCCACTTGGCTGCACACTCCCACAGGTATCACACAAACAAACCGCACAAAATGAATGGCATGGAGCTGCTTGAGGGAAGGGTCAGGAAGGGGTTAGGGAGAAGTTCTTCACCAGAGGACAGTGGGCATGGAACAGGCTGCCCAGGGCAGTGGGCACTGCCCTGAGTTCCAGAGTTCAAGGAGTGTCTGGACAGCACTCTCAGACATTGGGTTTGAATTTTGGGTGGTGCTGTATAGAGCCAGGAGCTGGACTCAGTGATCCTCGTGGGTCCCTTCCAACTTGGGATATTCTATGATTCTGTGAACACAAAACCAGCATCAACATAACAGGGCATGTAAATATGAGAACAGAGGAGGGAAAACCAACTAGTCATTCAAGAACTGCACTCCAAGCTCCTTTATCTCCATATTTGATCTCAAAGAGAAGGTTAAAAATGTTCATTTACCCATGGCAACTTCTTGGATTCACAGAATCAACCACAGATCCCTCAAATGGTAAAGATGAGTAGTTTTTTTTCCCCCCCTCCTCTTCTGGCTGAGTACTATGAGTACTGCAATTTTTTCCATTTTATTTGCAGTTTTTGCATATCATATGTCAAATGTCCAGCCCATTTCACTGCTAACAAACCTTTACACATGCAGGAATGTTTGTGTAATCAAAGAAAATATTTTTAAGTGTCAGGACTGAGGAGTTTTAAACCATAGGAGATAAGACTCTGAATCCTGGCTCAAGGCCTGGAAGCTGTGAGGCAGACCAATGGAAAATGCAGAAGGTCGTGTTCAGAGTACTGGCTTTTTCCAAACACAGAATCCCAGGTACTTGGCCTTTCAACTCAACCTAGACATTGTGTTTTTGTGAGCTTATTTGAAACGAGCAAACGGCATTAAGCAAACAAACAGACTCCCTTCCTCCCCCACACTCAGACTAACCCTATTTCAGCCCTATTTCCTATGCAGGGCTGTAAAAACTGTTCAAGAAGATGTTAATGGCCTTTTCCAATTTCTAGCCATAAATAGCATCCCTGCACTGAAGAGGAATGCTAGCAAAAAGTTAAAGTATAACCCAACCGTTCTGTCCAAGGCCTCACACTGCCTAACTTCCCATTGTCAGCTTCGCCTTTCAGGAAAGCTATGTTGATAAATAACAGGAATATTAAGGACAATACAAACATTTGCATTCTTTCCACACCTTCAAGTTGCTTTTGAAGCTTTCCTATACAAAGTTAGGAACAAAGCACGAAAGGAAGTTGGGTTCTGTCCCAGTTTCAGAAAGTGGGCTGTAAGATACCAAATCGTGTAAGCGCTGTGGAAACTCCAAAAGCTGGCACCACTGAATTACATTTCTCTGCCTGCAGGTCTCTGTTCCTGCTTGCCTGCTCTTTTAGCTGAGTTTCTAAAGGCTTCAAAGGTGGATGCTGCCCTTCAGTGGCACTTGGAGGGCTGATAGTGTTTTCAAAAAACAAAAGCAAATGATGCTGCCCTGACAGAGGGAAGAACAAGGTCAATCATGCTATGCAAATCAGCTGTTAGAGAAAATCAAAACAGAGGAATCTGCCAGCCCCACAGCATAGACTGAACATGAATAAACAAAACTTGATTCCTGCTTAATTTTATCATCGGAGAAGGGAGAAGGTGAAAGAGGAAAATACGTAAGTGCAAAAGTACTTAGGTAATGCCATGAATTCAGCAATGACTTTGGAAACAAAGCTTGAACAATAATCATGTTGCTATAAAGCCCTGCATGTTCAAGCTAAGCGTGCATCCCATCCAGAAGACATAGCTGAGGACTTCTGAGGATCTGGCAGATATTAAATGCTATTGGGAAGGACCCTGGCTCTGAATATCTTTGCTCTCCTTTTATTAGGTTAGTGCTTTTTAGTTCTTGACAGAAACTTTCATAAAAAAATTCAACCAGTTCTGAAAATCCACCTGCAGTGTCACACAGCAGCTGAAAACTATTTGTGAATTTCAAGACTTTTGTTACAGAAATGCCAGGTTGTATGGGAACTGCTGAATCATGGCCTGAACCTCTGATTGATCACCTGAGGTGAGCACTGAGTCAGCCATGGGAGCACAGGTGAA